GGAGGGGAGGGGAGGGGAGGGGAGGGAAGAAAGGGTGCTGAGGAAGTTGTAGGTAAAAAAAAAAGAAAGGTCAACAAACAAGATCCGATGCTGATTTGTAAAGTGAAACGTATATTTTCCCTGCCAACAGCCCAGGGTAGCAGTACACACCTGTAATCCTAGCTCCTTTGAAGGCTGAGTAAGATTGAAAATCTGAAGCCAGCCTGGGCAACTTAGCTAGGCTTTGTCATAAAATAAAATTAAATTAAAATAGGGCAGGAGTGTAGCTCAGGGGAAAGCACTTGTCTTCTAGGCACATGGCCTTGGGTTCGACCCCCAGTACCTCACAGAAAAGCGCGTATTAGCTCAGCAAAGGGACAAGCAAGCTGTCCACTCTGGCACCTTTCCACGTCCTTGCGGCTCACCTGGCAGGGATGGGGGCAGTGACTCCTCCCAGAGACGGGATGGCAGGGGATTTTAATTTTCCTTTGTGTGTCTTTTTGAGACATGGTCTCACTCTGCAGTTCAGGCTGGCCTTGAGCTCACCCTGTAGCCCGGGCTGGGCCCAGACCCTCAGCAATCCTCCTACCTCAGCCTCCCGAGCGCCGGGATCACAGGCGTGCGCCACCACAGCTGGCTTAATTTTCCTTTTTGCTCATCTCTGTTACCTGACTCTTCTCCAGAGAACAGGTACCAGCTTGGATAAGCAACGCCGAGAACCAGAGCCCCTCTACACAGGACGGTCTTCTGCAGCTCTGGCCGACCTGGCCTGCTGACCCCTGCCACTCTGCCCCTCCAAAGGCCCTCCCCGGCCCACAGGCAGCCCCAGACCCCACCCCAACCCTCCCAGGTCAGAGCACTCACTGAGCAGGACCCCGTCTCTGGGTGGCACAGGTCGGAGTGGCCGTTACACTCACACAGTTCACAGTGGCCGAGGTAGAGCCCGCTCCCGGTGCGTGTGTAGCCTGAGGCACAGTCCTGGGGGACAGAGCAAGCTCAGCCTCCAGGCAGCAAACCCTGACCTCTCCCTCATGCCCCCTGTAGCCTCAAGGCTCCTACTGGCTCCTGGAGGGGGACACAGGGGGCCCATCTTTCACCCTGGTCTCCCCGGCCAGCCAGCAGGGAACAGTAGTGTCCTTGCCACTCTCAGATTCTGTCACTGGAAGTTACTGAAAAGCTTTATCTCTCCATGGGGTAGCAGGTTGGGAGGCTGAGATGGGGAGCTGGAGCCCCAAGATCCTTGTCGCTGGGTGTACACTCATTAGAGGCAGCATGAGCCACACCCAGATGTCTTGCGATATGGGAGATGAGTAATTGTGGGTTAGGGAACAATTCCTCACTTTCCCTTCTGTGAAGGCTTGAGCCACCTCACCTCCCCCACACCTGCCCCACGTTTCCAAGGGACGCTTATCACTCCCATCCGCCTGGCTGCAGACCGTGTATACCGCTGCCAAGACACAGCAGACTTGGTCACTTGGAGGAACATGAAATTCTCTGGACTTGAAAATTCATGGGGGCCGGGGAGATAGCTCAGTAGAATAAGTGCTTGCCTGGCAAGCACAAAGGCCTGAGTTCAATCCCCAGTTCCACCAAAGAAAGAAAAAGAAAATTCTTGGGGCCCCTGAAAAGGTACAAAGAGAGAAAAGCACAGAGATATGGGTTTTCTACTGTGGAAGCCTCCGAGTGGAGGCCCTAGATGTGTCAACACTGCCCTTCCTGATGCCTACCACTTGGCACTGCAGCCCTGCCTCCTTCCATGGCTCCCTGCTGTGCCTCAATATTCATTCATCAAACATTAAGTGGGCACCTGGCTAGGCAGACTCCAGCTTTTTTAGAGCTCCCTGCTCTGGCCAAAGTCTGCAGAGGCTCTTGGGTTCTATCCAAGTGGGGTCCCCTGCCCACCCCACAGCCCCCACTCTGCACAGGACACCAGACCCCCATCTCTTTCCTAGCCACCCCATCCCGGGTCCAGCTCTGACTTCGGCACCCCTTTGCAAGCTTGGCCTTTCCTTGGCAGAGGGGCCCTCACTGGCTTCTGGGGGTGACCTTGCTGCATCGTAGGCCGGCTTCCTGCATGCTCCTCTTGGGCTTCTGCTTATTTTCCCTCCGATTCACAGTCTCCCCACCCCTCTCAGACACTTGTCCTTGCTCAGCTTTGTCTGGAGCCCCCTGTGCTCCTGTGTGGGCCTTCCTGTCCTGGAGGGTACCCTGAGGGCACGAGCTGGGTCCTAACCTCTGAGTGTGCCCCAGGGCTTGTGGCAGTACTGCCTAGTGGTTGGGACACCAAGGCTTTGGAGCCCATCAGACCTGAGTCCAAAATAGTTTCTGTCACATGTTTGCTGTGTGTCCTTGGGTAAGTCACTCATCCCTCTGTGCCCTTCTTTTGTCCATAAATGGGACAATTCATATCTTGGGGCTGCTGGGAAGGGTAACTCTTTTTTTTTTTTTTTTTTTTTGCGGAACCGGGGATTGAACTCAGACCCTTGCACTTGCCAGGGAAGCGCTTATTCCACTGAGCCATCTCCCCGGCCCCGTAACTCTTGATAGGAAGGGCAAGGCATCATTTGACCAGGACAGCAATCACAGGCCATGGCCACAGCCACTGGTTAGCATGCTGGCACGGGGGGCCCCATACTCACCTGGCAGGACAAGCCCATGTAGCCAGGAGGACAGCGACACTCCTCCACCTCCAGGGCCCGGGGTCCATCTGAGGGCCCTGGCTGTGCCACCTCCAGGCTCACGGCACTGATACTGGCTGCCAGCGGCACTGAGGAGAATGTGGCCCGGATCAGGAGCTCATCCAGGTCAGCCAGTGCCATCAGCAGGTGCTCGCGGGTGGCCGGCTGCCCATCTGGCCGGCGCCAGAACTCCTAAGAGGGAAAATGGTGAATGTGGGTGAAGGTGAAGGCTTTGTACCTACTCCTGCAGTCCCCACCCCTCGGCCTTTGAGACCTGATCCAGGGGGAGGGGACGGTGGCAGGAAGCAGAGGATGGGTGGGAGGGGCAGTGCAGCGGCTCCGCAGCTGGGCTCCACAACAGGCAGAGCAGCGGGGCACACATAGCATGTGGACAGGGAGCTCTCCTACCTCTCGGAAGACGATCTCATAACTCTTCCTCTCGGGGCCCTGTGGTGCCGGCTGGGAGGCCACCAGCATGATGTTGTTGCCCTGGAGAGATGAAGGTGGGATCAGAAGGGGAGGTGAGGGGCTCTTAGAGAGAAGGGACCCCCAGTCCCAGACTCTCCCACACTAGGCCCCTCCACCGCTGCTCTCCCAGGCTCCTGTGCCCTGAGGAGAATGGCACCTGCGCACTGCCCCTGTGCCCAGCAGTGGGCTGCTGCTGAGGGGCATGGACCAGCTTAGTGAGCGACACTGGGACAGTGCATGGCTCCTCTCCCCCACTTCCGCCTGCCAGGAATCCAAGTGCTCACCATGATCTGGACATCAGGGTCAGACAGCGGGCTGCCTTGGGGCCCTGCTGTGTAGGAGAGGGTGTACCGCAGCTTCCCACCATATGCCGCCACCTGCAGGGAGATAGCTCCTGTCACACACGCTGCCCAGCCTCCTGGGAGAGTGGGTCTGACTGCACTGAAGGTCCCTAGCATCTGGACCACAACCTTGTCCCTGGAGGCCTGTGGTCACCTGGGAAACAAGCTACCTCTGCATTCCTCCTAGCATTACATATCATGCTGAGCAGCCTCTTTTCTATTCTCCACCACCGTACACTCTCAGCCAACAAGCTTCCAGTGCCTTTTGATTTACAGGTATTTCTCACAAGCAACAGAAGGCGTGACCACAGGCAACTGTTGTCAGTCATAGGCGGGGGCTGTGAAGACGCTGATTAACTGGCCAGTGGGGAAGGTGCGTTTGGTCTGCCCAGAATCCACTTCCCTCTTTCTGGAAATGATATCAGGTTCTCCCCAATGAATAGTTCTTCCTCTACATGTAGCCCACATGGTTTCGGGGCCATGGCCTTTCTCCTACAGGCCTTGGCAATCTGCACAGCCCACTGCTGACCTCCCCCGGTCAGGGATGATCGAGGGAGCCTGGCACTTCTCTCTCTCCTGGGACAGAGAAACTCCTGCTCCAGTTAGAGGAGAAGCTGCAGACACAAATGGAGACAGAGCCCGAGGAGGCCTGGGTCCAGCTAGGCCTCATGGCGGACATCCTTGGAGCTGCAGGTACATGAGCCAGTGGATTCTTTGTTGCAGAAAGACTAGATGGACTTGGGTCTTCACATAGGATGGGCAGAGTCCTTGTGGGTGTTTCAGGGGCTTTCACATGGGCAGCTGAGGCCCCAGCTGTGCTCCACTGAGCTTCCCTTTCTCCCCGTGGCCACCAGGGCAGACATCAGCTCAGTAGCCCACTACCTCAGTCCCTGCCCCACTAGTTCGTGTGTGTGCTTCCTCAGTTAGTTGGTGTTTCTCAAATGCCTGCTAGGTACATGCCAGGCCCTGGGCAACACAGGCCATGGTGCCATTCTCCACAAGCTTAGGGCGAGGTAAGGAGCTCAGGCTGTTGCCGAGCAAGAGCCAAATAACTGTTTTCCTGTTTGCTTGGATGCCAGCAAGTTCACAGCCAGATACGGGGCCAACTTTCCAGCAAGCTGCAGGCGTGGGTACGGCGCAGTAATCACGGGGGAAGACTGCAGTCTGACAGACCCGGTCTTAAATTCAGCTGTCGGAGTGGCATCCTGGACAAGTGAGTTATGTTTCTTTCTCTTCTTTTTTTTGTCTTTTTGAGGCAGGGTCTTGCTATGCAGTTCAGGCTGGCCTTGAGCTCACTTTGTAACCCAGGCTGGTCTCGAACTTGCAACAATCCTCCTGCCTCAGCCTCCTGATCCTTGGGATAAGAGGTATGCACCACAATGCCCTGCTAATGAGTTATGTTTCTGAGCCCTACTTTCCTTATATGGTAAGAGGAGTGAAAATGATACTTTTAAGAGAATCATGGGCATTGTGCAACTCAGAACACACACGACGCAGCACAGCGCTGAAAACACATTCAATGTGGGCGACTTTGCCCCACTGCCGACACCCCACTTACTCCCCCTCGCCTGACATCTTCCTGTGCCCTGAATCTCGTCAACTCGCTTCATACTCTCAAGAGGTGCTTCTGCACCATTTGAGGAATCAGTATCCACACGATATTAACTAACACCAAGGCCCATGCCAAAGATGAGAACACCAACACCAACTGGGACCATGCTGACCGCAGTGACAGGAAACTCCGGAACCTGCTCATCTGCCTGCACCCGACACGGCACACAGAAACTACCTCCTCAGTACTTAGCTGCAGCGGGACCTGCACTTGGGGCCTCAAGGAAGCCCCTTCCTGCTATGGGCCTCGGTCTACCCATTTGTCACAAGCCCAACTCCTCGTTACCTTGTCCCCCAGGAAGGCTCGCGGCAGCTGCCAATAATAGAGGCTTCCAGGAAGCAGAGAGAAGCCTTCATAGGACAGAGAGAACTAGGACAGAAGGTTAGGTGGTAAGAGCAGGGGCAGGACAGGGAACAGTGATGCCACAGGGGGGCCAGCATTGGGGCACAGGCACAGGACCCAGCCCTGCCCATCACTCAGGCCCCCAACCCACTCTCTGGGCAGCTGGCTTTCCCTGCAGACCTGGACCTGGCTGTTCTCTCTGGGTGTGGTCTGGGCCTGGATCTCCCCATGCCTGGTGTTTCCCTCTTATGGACCCCGAGAGATGTGTGGTACACTGGGAAATGTTCTAAAATCTATGGTTCTTTGCACATGTATTAAAAAAGTATAACTACCATAACTAGGGAATAGTTATGTATAGGATCACTTTGGTGTAGGATCGCCTTGGTATAGGTTCCATTTTCCTTTAAATGGATCCTTGGTATAGTAAAGAAAAGGCCAGGCAGCATGAGAAATTGCCCAAAATGCCTTCAGTCTAGAAAGCATGGTAGGTGGGAGTCCTTAGGTGGATGCGGGTCCCCGGGTGGGTGCCTGAGCACATACCTGAGAGCCTGCTGGGGAAGACAGAAGAGCAGAGGAGGAAGAGGAGGAGGAGGAGGAGGAGGAGGAGGAGGGAGGAGCTGCTTGAAGAGCAGCTGCAGGCTGGGGGCGGGGAGGGACAACCCGACTATTGGGTTGGGGGTGGGCAGCAAAGCTGGAGAGGAGCTGCCAGATCTCAGCATCCATCCGCCTCTGAGCCTCATCCACCTGGGGGACCAGAGAGAAAGGGCAGAGGAAAAGAGCAGAAAGGGACAGAAATGTGCCTATGGGGCTCTGCCCTCCCTCTGCCTATGCCAGCCCCATAGCCTCCCACTTCTGCACTCTCCACACACCAGTGTCAACGCCCCCTACTCTGCCCCCTGCTCTCTGCCCATTTGGTCCTCACAAGCCCGGTGGGTGTCCAGGGATGGATCGGCTGACTATGGGCCAGGCCCACTGGGGCGAGGCCTCCAGAGGGTGCCCAGCCACAGTGGGGCTCCGGAGGCTGCTCTTTGGGCTTCCCTCTCCACAAGGGCCTGGCACCAGCGCAAGCCACTTGTGGAACCATGGGGCAGACTGGGCACTGGCTGGGTCTGGAGCAGCATAGAGGAAAATGGTCCCAAAGGGCCAGCTGGGTTCCCTGGGTCCCAGACACAGCCTGCCCTGGCCAAGCTCTTGGTTACCTGTGATGCCCGCTGTGCACGTCCCCTGCCCTCTGGGCGCCCCAGGATCCTCCCAGCACTCACAGCTGCCCGCCACTGCTCCTCTGAGAGTGTTGTGCGGTTCTGACAGGGTGGAGGTCACAAGCCAGCTTAGCTCTCCCGAGGACACAGAGCTGGAGCCATGGGCAGGGCTCTCTCCCCATGGACAGGGTGGACCCTCTTGGGGCTGCCACACAGGGTTACCTAGGCCTTGTGTGCACATGGGGGCTACTCCAGGTTGCCTGGGGGGCAGTTCCAGAACAAACTGGGGGCCAGGAACAGCCATGCAGATTAGCATCTGGTTAGTTTCTCTGCCAACTTGGTCACCCCTGACTACAGACAGCTGGCTTAGGACCAGACCACGGGCAGGGAGTTGGGGGGAGCAACTGCCTCTCCTGGTGGCAGCTCTGGGCTCACACAGACCCGCACTGTCCAGGGCGCTGGGCATCTCCCCACACAGGGGTGAGGCATGTAAGTACACAGCATGCCTGCAGCACACCAACGTCACCCCCTCACAGCAAAGCATACCTGGTGGGCCCGGCGCATCCGCGCCAAGTATGCCTCCACCTGTGGGGCATGGGGAAGGGCCAGGAGAGAAGAGAAAGGTTTAAGAGTGGAGGGAGAGGGTGACAGAGAGGCAGAAGAGAGGGAGCCCAAGAAGAGGCCACAAGGTAGTCAGCTCTGCAACAGGGTTGGGGGACCTGGCTGTCCAAGGAACGGGGACCAGGCAGCCTCAGAGACTTAGCCTGAGGGTCCCTGGGCACTGGTCTCTGTCAGCAGCAGACTGCTGTGCCAAGTCCCACTTCCCCTGAGTACCTTAGGGTGGCTGTGACTACTTGAGGAGCACACATGGGCAGGCTGCCCCCGAGCCCCCTTAGACCTTGCCCCCCATAGTACCATCCTCAGCACCACCACCCCACCAGACCATGTCTCAGAGCAAAAGAGATACGCTCCACAGGCTCTGGTCTGGGTCTGAATCCTGCCAGCACCACCCACTAGCTGTGGGGCTTTAGGTAATGTCTGCTTGAGTCTGTCTTGCCTTAGTTTCCTCAGTCATTAAGTAGGAGAGCAAGAGTATCTGACCCAGACAGTTGTGGCTTTTGACACTAAAAGTACTCAGAATAATGCCTGGCATAGTAAGAGCTCAGGAGACACAACCTGTGAGAACAGCTACGCCCAATCCCAAGCTTAGAGCTTGCAGTGTAGACCAGTGGTTATGTTTGGTTGCTGTTGGTGTTTTTGAGAAAGGGTCTCACTCTCTTGTCCAGGCTGGCCTTAAACTGACATAGATCTTCCTGTCTCAGCCCCCTGAGTGCTGGGATTACAGGCGTGTGCCACCATACCCGGCTCACCAGTGGATTTTGAATGAAAGAAAGTGACGGCGTCTCATCTGTCCTTGTGTTTTGGGGGGCTGGCTCAGGACTCAGTTTTTGGAAGTTGCACAAAAACTCAGAATCATTACCATCTGAACTCCTATCATGTGCCTGGAGATTCCTCCAACTCCCCCAGGCCCTTCCCTGGAGCAGAAGCTATCAGAGGATCCAGAGATTCAGGTCCATGTTTCATGGAACCCAAAGGTGCGTGCTGAACCATGACATGGCAGCTACGGGACAGATGGCTGCCTGCGGAGACTGCCCCGAGGTGAGCACCTGTTTGCATCGTCACCTGCCGCGGGGCCCAGAGGGGCCCAGCTCCCAGCTGCCACTCTGGGAGGTCTGCAGCCCTGCCACGGGTCCCACCTTGTCTCCCTGGTATGGCTCTGGCAGCTGCCAGTAGAAGGACTCGTGGCCAAGTTGGGCAAAGTTGCCAAAAGACAGCTGGGTGCCATCGGGCACAGGCTCCACGGTGAAGTCTCCTGCCAGGCGGCTATTGCGCTGTGGGTTCACCAGGGCAAAGCCTTGGAAGTCCCCAGGGGCGAAGCGGGTGAAGATCTAGCAGCACAAAGAGAAGCAGAGTCAGTCTACAGCTGGGGCGCCTTAGGGGGCCAGGGCACGGGAGGGCATCAGGGCAGGGAACGGGGGCTTTCTGAGATCAGGGCTGGGGATGAGATGACCATGGGGGACACCAGGGTAAGGACAGGGAGGTACTGGGCTCACACTGAGATGAGAAATGATGGGGCTTGGGGGCCTTGGAAAGGGGTTAGGTCCCTGGGCTCCATGCAAAGATGGGAGAAATGGGACAAAGGGACCCCCAGAGGGAACTGGGACCCAGTTGGACCCAGGCCTCAGACTTCCCTGGCTCTTACCAGGTGCCGAGTATAGGAGGAGCTGGCGCACTGCTGTGTGACACCCATACAGAAGCAGGGTAGGCAGCCCTCAGGGTTGCTGATGCTCAGGTAGAAGTGGTGGGGCCGGCAGCGGCTGCAAGTGGGGCCTTCCACCTGGACCTGTGGTGGGCAGACGGCAGGTGTATGCAGGGGGCTGGGGGCTCCCACACTTCCATGGACCACGAGGCCAGCAGCTAGAGCAGCCCCGCCCCACCTCCACATCTGATGTGGCCAGAGCCAGGCCTCAAAGACAACAGGGCTTTGGACTGACCTTGCACTGGCACTGGCCAGTGGCATCACACTGGCTGCTGATGCTGCCTTGGGGGTCACAGCTACAGCCTGTCCCATCTGGCACCTGGCTGTCTCCTGAGGTGGAGGGAAGCTATAATTAAGAGCCCCAAATACCCAAGCATCCCAATTCCCACTGCCGTCCAAGTATGCAACTCTGCAAGGAGACGGGTGTAGAGGGCTGCTGTGTGTTTCTGAGGCAGTGATTTGCACTCCCACAAAGCTTTGGAAGAGCCGGCCTGATAACTCAGCGGACTAAAGCACCTGCTTAGGCAGAGCGCAGCGGTTGGGGTTCTATCCCCAGAGTGCCCTGCCAGCCCAGCCCTACCCCAGGGCACGCTGAGATGTCGAGCCTGGGCATGGTGGTGCACACCTGTAATCCCAGCACATGGGAGGCTGAAAACAGGAGAATCACTATGAGTCCAATCTACATAGTGAGACCCTGTAGACCCTGTCCTAAATAAAGAAAAAAAAAAAAAAAAAAAAAAAAAAGCTTTGGAGTAGGGGAGGGTGGCCAGGGATCCCCACAGATATAGGTCAGAAAGGTAAAGCCACCTGTTGTAGGTCATCAGGGAAGAGAGGCCCTCGCTCTACTGCAGGAACCTGGGAAGCCTAATGCTGGTGACCTCCTTGTCCCTAAAGCTTACTCACTCTGGCAAGGCTGGCCCAGGCTGGGGTTGCCATAGTAACCGGGGGCACACCTGCAAAGAGAAAAAGCCAAACCCTGCGGAGCCTGTGCAGAGCCCAGGCCTGTCACGGAGAAGGGGTGAAGAGCAGAGGTGTGCACGAGATCACGCGCTGGGCAAGCTGGCTCGATCGGGCCTCGGGCTGAGGACCTTCGGCAGGCACAGGGAGCTGTGGAGGACTCAGCCGGGTGGGTCTAAGGGTTTCCAGTGCCAGGCTTTGGGGGAGGGCCGGTCTGCCTGTGGCCTCAAGGCAGCCTGTCCTGCTCATCTTTTCTCTGCACACGTCTCACCTCTCACAGTGACGCCCGCTGTGGCCTGGAGAACATGAGTCACATGTGGGGTGGCCGTCTGTGTCCAGAAAGCAGGTGTGGGCAGCCCTGGATGGAGGCCAAAGGTCTAGTCAGGAAGACAGCAGACCCTCCCTCAGGACCAGGGGAAGAGGAGGCCTGGGCTGCATTCCCTGCACATTGCCTGGACCTCTCATGCACAGGGGCTGGGGGGAGGGAGGGTGGGCCGAGGTGCTGAGAGCAAGTGTTTCCTCCTCCAGGTGCCACACTGAGGACACCACACCCAGAATTTAATCACTGCCTGTCAACAGGGTCAGGCAGGGCGAACATGGGGAGGGGTGGTAGACACCCCAAAGAAGGACAGGGCCTAGATGTACTGGTTGGCAGCTGGGGCTCCATGGCATGGGCATGGCTGGCAGTCCTGAGGTGTCCCACGCTGGGCATCCCCGTAGTATCCTGGCTGGCACTGCTCGCACCGAGGGCCCACCGTATGGTGCTGGCACCCCTGGGTGAGGAGCAGAGTGTGGTTAGGGCTGGGCCCCTGGAGGACACAGACACCTCAGGTAGACAGGTGGGAGGTGGGACTCACCTGGCAAGCACCTGTCTCGGGCTCACAGGCCTCTGAGTGGCCGTGGCAGCTGCAGCGTTCACAGGTGCCCAGGTAGAGGCCACTGGGCATGCGTGTATAGCCCGTGTCACAGTCCTAGGAATGGGAGATGAGCGTGCTGGGCTTCGAGGTGCCAGGGAGGCAGGAACCAAAATGGGACAGCCAGAGAGCATGGGGGAGGGGCGGGCTGGTGGTGGTGCCCGGGCTCACCTGGCAGGATGGGCCCCGGTACCCAGCTGGGCAGGTGCACTGTTCCACTTCCAGTGCAGGGTCCTGGCCGGTGACCTCAGGCACAGCCACGTCCATGCTGATGTCGGAGACCCTGAGCATGACAGCACACAGTCTGAATAAGTGTGTGCTCACTCTGCCAGCCACCCTCTGTCCTTCCAATGGCCCTGTCACTATGCTGTGGGACCCTGTCTAGATGCCTGGTCAGGGTCACCAGAGCAGGCACATGGGCTGGGGCTAAGGGCTTACACTTGAGACTTTCTCCAGAGCCCCGACCAGGTACATGAGCACAGGATGAGATCCCCTCCACCTCCCCATAAGAGGATGCCACAGGGCTGTTTACTCTCCAGAGCCCAGCGGGAAAGAAGCTGAGACCAAACTTGACCTGAGGCCACAACGGTTCCCCCTGGGAATCACATACACACTATCCCCAGCCTCAGGCTCTGCTTCTCAGAGTCCTGAGCTGAGACCAGCTTAAGGGGAGAAGGGGAGAGACCTCAGAGCAATCTCTTAAACGATGGGGAAAATGAGGCACAAAGGGGCCACCCAGACTGGATACGGCAGGGCTGGCAGCCTGGTTGCACCTCAGTTCAGCTAAGACGAGGGTCCCCTCCCTGTGCCCTCTTCTGTCCTCCCATCTGGACCCAGACCTGCTCTCCGCAGGCCGCTGGGTGTGGGATGCTCGGATCAGGAGGGCATCAATGCCTGCCAGCGCCATCAGCATGTGCTCCCGCGTGGCTGGCTGCCCGTCCGGCCGTTGCCAGGCTTGCTGCCAAGGAGAGGGCACATGAGTGTAAGCCCCAACATCTGGGCCAAGTGTGGAAGAGGAGCAGGGCAGTGCCCACCCACACCTCTGAGGGAGGGCTCACCTCCCGGAAGGGCACAGTGAAGGTGCTGGGCTGCCCAGGGGCAGGCTCCCGGGACGTATGGTGCTCCAGTGTGATGCCGTTGCCCTGCAGCACCACCAGCGGCTGTCCGTGTAGGGGTGCAGAGCTGGGCTGGGGCCTCTGGGTCACCACGAAGCGCAGCTCCCCACCATAGGAGGTCACCTAGGGCATGGGACAGACAGGTGCTTGGTCACCCCCCTTGATGTTACATCCTTGCAGGGATCCTACAATTCTCCATGGTGCCCGACACTGCTCCCCACCTCTGCTTATGCTGCTCCCAACGCCCACAGTTGCTCGCCTTTGCCCAGCCACTGCCCACCTTGTCGCCCCGGAAGCGTGCAGGGAGGTTCCAGAAGTAAGGTCCGGCTAGGAGGTTGTGGAAGGAGGAGAAGACCAGCTCCCCAGATGAGGATGAGGAGATGCCCTCACTGGTGGTGTGGGTGCCCGCAGCGTTGGTCAGGCTGAACTGTGTCAGCTCCTCCGAGGCCCCGAGTACCTGGGCAGGGGGCAGAGGCCAGGTGGGACTGATCTGCATCCCATCCAGCCCTGGGCCAGGCCACCCCTTCCTGCACTCCACCTGCCCCACAAGGGTACCTGGGCGCGGCTCCAGGACGAGCTGGTGCACTCGCGACTGACACCCATGCAGAAGCACTTGAGGCAGCCATCGGGGTTGCGGGTGCTTAGGTGGAAGGTGCCTTCAGCACACTCATTGCACAAGCGGCCTACCACATTGTTCTGCAGGCAGAGACCAGGGAGCTGCAGGATAGCCCGCTATAGGGGCTGCCTGGAGCCACCAGCTGAACCCACCCACTGACTTGATGGGATGCAGAAGCCACTGGAAGGATTCTTTTTTTTTTTTTTTTTGTGCGGAACTGGGGATTGAACTCAGGCTCTTGTGCTTGCCAGGCAAGCGCTTTTTTTTTTTTTTTTTTTTTTTTTTGTCTTTTTGACACAAGGTCCCAGTATGCAGTACAGGCTGGCTTTGAGCTCCCTTTGTATCCCAGGCTGGTCTCAAGCTTGCACCACTCCTCCTGCCTCAACCTCCCGAGTGCTGGGATTACAGGAGTGAGTCACCAAACCTGGCTTGGGAAGATTCTTGTACAAGGCACCACCACCATCTGAACAATGATTTCCAGTTCATGTGTGGCTGTGTAGCTATTTTCCCTTTTCTCTTTGGTTGCCAGGAAGCTCACAAATGAGGTTAGATTTGAAATAAAGCAACTTGGTTGAAGTAGTTCCCACTGCAATTTATGGAGGGCTTCGTGTACTGCGCTAGATTCTCCACAGTCATCACCTCCCTCTGTTCCCCTAGGCACCACGTAGCTATCACCATCCCTGGGGTGAGGGGTACTGAGGTTCAGGGGTATGAAGGGACCTGCACAAGGCCACTCAGCCAGCCTGTCTAGTCAGGAGTGCTGACTCCAAAAGTGGTCTGTCCTTTCTCCATGGATGCGGCTTTCCTTACCCTGAATGCGAGTAGCACCCCATTTCTGAGCCCATGCGTGGGGATGCTGATCCGGTGTCCAGATGAGGGCAGTAAAGTGAGGTGAAGCCGAGCAGCTGCACACACGGTGAGCTCTCGACTCAGGTCACCTGACTTCCTCACTGGTGCTCCTGCCCAGGGGCAAGCCACTGCTTCTCCTCCACCCCCCCACCCCCCAGTACTGGAATGGAACCTAGGCTCTTCACGCTGCACTACATCCTCAGGTATTTCTTATTTTTAATTTTAAGACAACTTCTCACTAAGATGCCCAGGCAGGGCTCAAAATTCCGATCTTCCTGCCTCAGTCTCCCAGTGCTGGGATTATAGGAGTGCGACACCACACCTGGCCCAGGAGAAGACCTGGCCTCTCTGCCTGCCTCGCCTGGGACGTACCTTACAGAGGCAGGCCTCTCCAGCGGACCCCGCACTGCCTCGTTCATCGCAGCGCACGATCGCCTGGGCTGGGGACACAAGGTGGATGTCAGCAGGGCAGGTGAGGGGGGACAGACACAAGACAGACAGAGCCAGGACAGACACGCAGAGGGAGGTGGTTCTTCAGGTTTAGGCCAGGCTCCAGGAAGGGTTGGGGGAGGCCTGGTGAGAGGCCTGGATACTCACTGGTGGGTCTGCACTTCCCACTGGGCTGGATAGGGTTACCCTCATATCCGGGGGCACACCTGGGGGAGACAGAGGCATCAGCAGCCCTCCCTTGACTCCCAAGTACAGCCCTGCACACAGTCCTCTGGCTCTCTCACCTGTCACAACGGCGACCTGAGTAACCAGGAGCACATGCGTCACACGTGGCTTGGCCGTCCGTGTCCAAGAAGCAAGTGTCTGAGAATCTGTGGGTGCCAAATGGGCAGGGCATAGGGCAGGGCTGGGGACCAGGCCTGACACGCCTACCCCAGAAATGACTGCTGTCCATTTGGCTGCAGCATGCTGGCAGGTGTGACCCTGGCTGGCTGTCCACTTGGCCACAGCATGCTGGCAGGTGTGACCCTGCCTTGCTGCCCACCTGACCCTGATCTGCAGTCTCCTAGCAACTGCAGCCCATAACAACTGGGTGATTACATGGGAAGGGGAACAGAGGCTGGAGAACTCATGGCAAACAAGAACACGCAGTGTTGAGGGCAGGATTCAGATCCAGCACTCTGCCTCCCTCCCACAGCCTGAGCCGGGTCTGACCTGCGGGAGGGGTCGATGTAGGGGCACGGGCAGGGCCGGCAGGCAGTGGGCGTGGGCTTCGTGGCATCCCCGAAGAAGCCAGCTTTGCACTTGTTGCACTGTGGTCCTTCTGTGTTGTGCTCGCAATTCTAGGAGGAAAGCAAAGAGAGCAGCTCAGGTCTGTGGGGAGAACTTAGCCAGACAGGCTGGGGGGTGCGCTTTGGGGTGCCTTCCAACCCACACTACGGGCCTGTTCTGGCCTTGAATTCCATTTCTTTACTTCTGGCAGCTGTCCAGGGATTTGGAGATAACAGTCCTGCCCTGTTGAGCTCCACAATCCCTGTTCTCATCACTATTTGTAAGAAATGATGTCTGCGCTCTTACCCCTTAGGGATGTTTCATAAGGACCGTGCTTCATAGAGCGCCTCCGGCATTAAGAACAGAGTGGGTGGAAGACCTCCCGTGTCTGGATACTGTGTCTTTGTTAATCCAGCGCAAGGTCATGGTAGCTTTTATGTCAGCCATGACAGTCATTCTGGAGGCTTGTGTTAATCTTGTCGGCATAAGGGTGTCTCGCACCATGCCCGTCTGGTGTCTTAGTGCCAGCTGGCAGTACTCACCAGGCAGTGGCCATACACAGGGTCGCAGGAGCTGGAGTGGCCATTACAGTTGCAGCCAGAGCAGGTACCCAGGTAGGGCCCGCCGGGCACCCGGGTGAAGTGGGCAGCACAGTTCTCACAGGACAGGCCGGAATAGCCAATGGGACATCTGCAGGGACAGGACCGAGAGAGTGGCTGCAGGAACTGAGGCCCTGATGTTTTTCTCCTACGCTTGTCAGGGTCCCTGTGATCTGCAGCCCTGCTGGGCCAGGCACCTGCACTCCTCCACGCTGTGGGCGCGGCCGTGGCTGGTGGCGTGGGTGACTGTGGTGTCCATGGTGACGTCGCTCAGCCCCACGCTGGCCATCTTGGCATTATACACCGTTTGGATGAGCACCGCCTCCAGGCTCTGCAGCACCTGCAGCATCTCGGCCCTCTGCACAGGCCGGCCGGACTCGTGTACCCAGTGTTCCTGGGGTGGGCGAGGAGGTGGTCACGTGTCAGTGCCACCCCCGCTGCGTGCCCCCACCCAGCTGCTGCCCCCACCTGGGTGGCCTCTGAGTTCAAATGGCACCAACCTCCGAGAGCTGGACCTGGCGCTGGTTCAGAGCCCCGGGGTGGGTGGCTGTGTGGCCTCTGGAGAGCAGTCGGTGCCCAGCCCCCACCAGGACCACATCTGGCCGCTCCACAGGCTCCAGTGGGCCTCGTGCTAGCTCATAACGCACCTTGTAGCGCAAGGAGCCACCGTATGAGTCCACCTGGCCAAGAAGGGGTGGATTAGGGCAGGGCAACTGCGAGCATAAGTGGCACCCCCTATACCCTCCATAAGCAGCTATGTGCAGTCCGACAGCTCCCCCTTCACTGTGCCTTCCTGAGCTCAGGGTCAGGGGCAAGGGGCCCAGGTGGGTCAGGGCATGGAGGAGGGTTCAGTTCAGACGAGCTGGCCCTCACCTTATTGCCCAGAAACTGTTCAGGCAGAGCCCAGAAAGAGTCATGGGTGAGAAAGCGTCGTGACAGGTCGACCAGCTGGAACTCCTGCAGGGTGGTGTCCACCTGCAGCTGGGTGGAGGCGAGGGGCTGCATGCCAGGCTGCGCTGCTGAGGTTACATTCACGCCTGTGGGGGGCAGAGGAGCTGTGAGGACAGAGTGGCCACCTGAGGCCAGAGCCCGGAAGGGCGGAACAGCTCTGCCGGAAGTCTGACTTAGAGAAAACTGTGGTCTTTCTTCCAAAGTGAAGTCCAGCGTTTTCCTCCTCCTGTTCTTTCTCTTCTTTAGTACTGAGGAATCAACCTGGTGTGTGCAGGCAGGTGCCTGATGCTCTACTGCTGAACTATATCCTCAGCCTGTTTTAATCTGAGATAGGATTTCACTAAGTTGCTCAGGCTGACTACTTGATGGTTCTCCTGCCCTGGCTTCCTGAGTAGCCAGGATTCGGGGTGTGCGTCACTGCCCTCAGCTCTCCTGGTCTTCCTCTCTCCTTGAAGTTGTGGAGCATTACTTCCCAAATCAGCCCCAGGGAAGCCAATGCTGCACAACGTTGGGGCCCATTTGGGAACTGCAAGGTCAAAGAAAGGTCAGGGAGATTCTCCCCATAGGACTTCTGAGAGCCTTTTGCTTGCTGAGCTCCCTGGACTGTCAGGCTCAGAACAACCCAGTGGGGGCAGCAGAGAGCTTTAGAGGGCTCAAGACCCGGAGCCCCAGTCCTGGCTACACTCTGCTGGAGATGCACGAGCCTCAGTTGCCCTATCTATAAAATGGTATTGATCATGGCTCACCTCATTTGTTGTCAGGGAGATAAAATGAGCAAATTGATTTGCAATGATTAAAATAGAGGACGCTGCCAAGAAAGAGCTTGACAAGTGGCTAGCCCTTCTCACTGCTGTTGTTACGACGGGTCCTCTGTCCCAGCCATACACACACACACACACACACACACACACACACACACACCGTCACCTGACATGGGCCCTCCCTGGACAGCAGCCCCAGTCTCTGGCAGCATCATCCTATGGAACCCTCTGTGATGACAGAAATCTGCAAACCTGCGCTTCCCCCGCAGTACTCCCAGGAATGCTTATGAGGTATCTACTGTAGCTGAGGCCCTGAATGACTGCATTACCAAGGGACCAGCCACCGTGGCCTGTGATTACATGCCACAAGGGCAGCTCACTACCTCCAAAGCGAGGAACAGTTTTGATTCTTAAAAGGTTCATTCCAAATGCTGGGTCTACATTTGCCTGCTGAAAGTGTCTCCCCTTGGCCACCGCTAATCTGGAAATGACCATACATTTGGGGCTACACAAATGGTGGGGCCACCTCTAGGCCCTCCTTCCTGCTCACCATCCACATGCAGGCGACCCATCTGCCTGGAACCTCACCCAGCCTGACCACCCAGATCCCAATCAAATAGCTCCAGGTTCCATTCTGCCTGCAATCTGTCACCCCCAGGTGCCCCTCACCTCCCAGAACCTTGGGGTTCCCATCTGGAAACTGAAACAGTGCTGAGCTTGCAGTATCTGGCTTCACCTAAAAGTGTTTGGTTTCCCTTGAAATGTTCTTCTTTTGGGGCTCTGTATTTCTCTGGCAACCCTGTGTCCCTACCACCCTGGCCGCAGTCTAGGTGGCACATGCTGTCCTCTCTGAGTGGGCAGGAGCCTGGTGTCCCCTGAGCTCCCATGGCTCCCGGCCCCAACGCACCCTTGAAATCACCAGGCTGGTCAAAACGTAGTCGGATCTGGTCCCAGAAGCGGTGGCTGCTCTGGCACACGTTGGTGACACCAAAGCAGAAGCAGGACAGGCATGAGGCGCTGTGCTCCAAGTAGAAGTGCCCATCAGGGCAGGGGCCTGCAGGGCAGCAGAGGAAGGCTGTGTCAGGCCGACAGGGGCCTGGATCCACCTGAGATGGTGTCCGTAGGCTGGCCCCATACCTCGCTGCGGAACAAGCTCCAGGACTCCGTCAGGGATGCCAAACACCATGCCTCGGGAGTTCATGGCTTCGCATGTGTAGGCACCCTGGTCTGACTCTTTCACATCACGGATGGTCAGCGTGCCACGGCCACCCTCACTGGTCATGGTCACCCTGATGGGCACAGAGAAAGAGGGTCACTCCTGGGCTGTTTGCCGAGGCTTTGCCGGGCCTCACAGTACCCCCCGCTGGTCCAGAGCTATACCTGGGATGAGAAGGAATGTGGCCCCAGTTAAGTCTCCAGTTGATGATGGGGGTGGGGACACCAGTGGCCACACAGGTGAGGGTCACTGTCTGGCCCCGGGAGGCCTGGATGGTCTCCTGGGGAGGAGTCACCACCTGGGGAGGCACTGAGGAGATAGAAGCAGGAATGAGGGTTTCTGAGGGCCTGGGGGGGGGGGAAGAGGGCCCCAAGGGGACAGGCCCATCTGCCCCTAGCTCCCTGCTCACTGCAGCCAAACTCGTCGCTGCGGTCAGGACAGTCGGTCTCCTCATCGCAGTGGAAGCTGGCCGGGATGCACGTGTTGCTGGAGACGCACCGGAACTGTGTGGGCGCGCACACTTCCTCAGGGCGCTTGGTGGCTGAGGGACAGAGCCGGGTGGTATGGGCACAGGGGCACTGTCCTCAAGGAAGTCCACCCCAACCTCTACTGGCTCCCAGAAACAGCCCTCCCACCCGATCCCTTCTTCAGGAGCCCCAGGGTCAGCCTCATCTCACCCACCTAACAGCTGCCACTGTCACACCACACAGCACAGCCACCAGTCTGCTGTGGAACAGCTCCTCACCTTACCTGAACTCTACAACTTACTCCCTCTTCATCCCCCCAAAACTTGATAGGTCACAGCCATGTCACAGCATCCCTTAGTGGCCATGGCTTGGAGGTTGTGTGTCCCTAAAGGCTCATGTGGTAGAAGTCTGGTCCCACTCTGGTGATGTGGAAGGAGTAGGAACCTCAGGAGATGAGGCCTAGTGGGAGGTCCTAAGGTCCCAGGAGTGTGTCCTCAGGAGTGACGATGAATCCTACTCTTCCCTGATTTCTCTTCTTCCCCTCACTGCCATTTGCCATGAGATTGCTCAGCCAAGGGACAGTCTCAGTAGAGCCTGCACTATGCTGTTCAGGTGTTCAGCCTCTAAACTGTGAGCTAAATACACCCCCTTTCTTTACGCAGTTGTCCTGTTTTGGGTATTCCATTATAGAAATGAGAAACAGACTAAAACACAGCCGCTCACATCATCAGCCACCTTCAGAGTCAGAGAAGCACTATGCTGAATGGACAAGAGCCCTGTCGAGGCATAGCCAGAGGAGTTGGTGTCTCCAGCCATGGGTAACCCGTACTGTGCTCCATACTGGACAAGCCTTGTGAGAGACCTGGTATGGCGGGGCCTTCTTGGAGCCTCCATGCTCTGGAGCAGGTGACTGACCTGGAGCAGCCACCCATCGACTGGGGCTGCTTGCCACAGGCCTGGATCCCACTGAACATCTTTAGTAAATGGTGACGCATGTTTGTCCACAAAGAGACAAAGCATGGGAGACAGAGAGGGCCAGGAAGGCACAGTGCAGGAGTGGAAGTCATGCATCCAGACAGGAGCAAGGGGGCTGCCATCTGTGACACACTCAGATCCAAGCCTCTGAAGGGCCCCCAAGGCCACTCAGCTTCACTTCCTCTCCATTCTGGGCTCTGTCAATAAGCCCGTGGCCTTCCTTAGCTTTTCCCCGGCAGAGGCTTCTGAGAGGGCCTCTTCTGCCCAAACCCTTCATGATTTCCTCTCTCCAAAAGGGGCTGGTGTTCCCAGTGAGCTTAAAGCCTGCCAGTGCTACCCTACCCAGCAACTGCTGCAGGGCAGGAAAGGTAGAGGAAGATAGGAAAAGCCAGGCAGGCTGACAGCAGAAAATTCTGATGCACACCAGATAGACAACACTGGGCCACAGGGATATGGCTTGAGGACAATCTTTGACCTCAGAGTGACAAGCACAGGCTTCACTTCCCAAGGCAGGACACACAAGGTACCACCTGGTGTGTCTCTGGCCCTCCAGCCTCCCTCACCTATTCAACTGTCGTGATATCAATACTGCCCAAGACAGTGACAAGATGAATGGGTCTGTAATGGATAGATGGTTGGATGGCAAGATAGATGGATGTTGTGTGGGTGGATGGATGGATGGATGGAACTGGGAGATGGGCAGTAGATGGAAGGATGGATGGTGGAATGGACGGGAAGGATGTTCTATGGATGAGTGGATGGCTAGATTTTTGTTTGTTGTCTTTTTTGAGATAGTGTCTTGCTGTGCAGTTCAGGCTGGCTTTGAGCTCACTTCGTAGCCCACGCTTGTCTTGAACTCACAAGGATTCTCCCACCTCAGTCTCCCAACTGTGGGGATTATAGGGATGTGCCAACACACTGGGCCAGATGGCTAGATGATGAGTTAGGTAGAAAAGGATGGATGATGGATGGACAGATGGATGGATAGACAGTTGGTCAAATGAGTTAGTGGAAGCTTGAAAGGATGATTAGATGGACTAAAAGATAGTTGAAGACCTGGGTAGATGAAGGAACAAATGAGCTAGAACTAGCTTTAGGTGAAAAACTTCTAGCTCCATGCTATATTTTGAATGTTGGCATGTTAGAAATGATTCCCAGTGCAACAGCATAGAGAGGCAGCACTCTGCCCTGGGGTCTGTGTTTATGTGGCAGGAGCAGGGTCTTGATAAAGAGGATGCTTTGGCTTTCCCCCTCATTAAATCTGATCCCTCTGCCATGCTAGGTTGCAACAAAAAGGCTCTCAGTAGATATGGTCCCTGGGTCTTGGACTGGCCAGCCTCCAGAGCTGTCAGCCAAACAAACCTCTATAGCTTATCAAGTACCTAGGCGTGGGTATCCTCACCACAGCACAAGGTGGACTTACGCAGCCCACAGGGCAGGGCTTTGACTTATCTGTACACCAGGACCTCAGCATCCAGGAGACCCAGCGTATCACGCTCTTTTAGGCATCTATTTCATGCCCCACTTCCCCACAGCAACAAAGAAAAGACCAATGGCTACAAAAATTCAGCAAAGCAGTTCAGGCACAAACCATGGACAGCCCAGCCACCTGCAGGTTGGGGCCTGGGGCTTCATAGCTCTGGTCAGAGATGGACTTTTATTTTAATTTCCTTGTAGTGCTAGGTATAGAGCCCAGGGATTCACATACACACTAGCAAGCCCTCTGCCACTGATCTGGTAGGAAAAAGAAATCCCCAGCCATTTTTTAAAATTTTGGGACAGGGGGCTGGGGAGATGGCTCAGTAGAATAAGCTCTTGCCTGGCAAGCACAAGGGCCTGAGTTCAATCCCCAGTTCTGCCAAAAATAAATAAATAATGAATTTTGGGCCCAGGGAGATAGCTTAATAGAATAAGTGCTTGCTTGGCAAGTGCAGGGTCCTGAGTTCAATACCCAGTACTACAAATAATAATAATAATACTAAATTA